ATTAGACACCGTTGTGATTCTACTGCAGGTCTGATGCTGGAGATATTCCTCCGCAGGGGCAGCAACACCCTGTTTTGCATTGGTACGAAGGTGAGAACATGTAAACACACACACTCAAGCAGTGTCCGTCTCCGCCGGTGTGAATTACGTCATTCTTCCATCTGTTGTCCTCATAACGAAGACGAACTCTGGCTGTAGTGTCGGAGCACCAGGCACTCGTATTTTGGGATGGATGGAAGAGCGGACGTTTCGGTATCAGAAGCTGGAGAACTCGGCGAGCCGCTACCTGACCCGACGGAGTCCCTGAAGGGGGAGGGTGGAGTCAGTGCTAGCAGTTCCTCAAATTCCTGCTGATTGGGCGGTGACTCCAGAGCTGAGGACACACCCCCCTTTAGCTCCTTCCCACTTGTTGTGGGTGACGTTTTGAGTCGCGATGAAACAACAAGTGGGCAGGGAGGGGTGGGGCGACCCACATTAGACTCCACTGGTGGGAGGGGTTGGATCTCAGCGTAGGTCGTCATGGTGGTCGGCATGGAAATCTCTCGGGACAGGCGGTAGGGTGGAGGGCAGCAGGGCTCCACAGATTGAGCGTGTGCGGACGCGCTGGTGGACAAACCCACAGGGCTCCCTGGAGGAGAACTGGAGAGCATCATGCTGTTGAGCTCGCTGATGTTAGCGGTGAAGCGGTTCACCACGCAGCTAATCTGCTCCATCAAAGAGCCCTGCGACGCACTTCCACCACTGTTGCCGCGGTGTGGAGGCTGACACATGTACGTGGAGACGCTCATGACCTGGGAGTTGGTGGCGCCGGCGCTCTGTGATAAAGCGATGCTCGCTCTCTGGGTCACGGTGCTGATCGGTGAGGGTGTTTGGGGCCGGTAGGTGATGGGGTAGCGCTCTTCCACTTCGGTGACCTCGTAGAGCATCTTGTTGTTACTGTTGTCGGTGTTGATATCACTGCCTCCGCAGTAGCGTCCCTCAGACGTTTTGGAGAAAGGTTTGATCACGGCCGTTTGGTTGCTTTCGCGCTTCTTAATGTGGAAGGAGAGACGCTGCCACAGGTGGCCACCTTTGGAACTGCACTCATTCTGGGCCCACGTCACCGACTTCCCATTAGAGCTGAAACAGCATTTAAAATAATATATTCAGTTAAAATGATTGCTAAATAACCCCATTGCAAACAACATCACTATATCTGTTCATATCTATCTGTCTATGAGGGCTACACAATTTGGAGAAAAAAATCCAATTGGGTTTTTTTCTGATAAAAATTGTGATTGTGATTCAAAATGTAAAAGGTTTGCTGTGCTTGTTTGTAGAGCTGCACAATTTGGCCAATCATGTAAATAATAATTTACAAAAATATTACACACAATTAAAGATATTACCATTGTAATATTTCACTGTAAAACTATCTATCTATCTATCTATCTATCTATCTATCAGGGCACAATTTTGGGAAAAAAAATCGAATTGCGATTTTTCTGATAAAAATTGTGATTGTGGTTTAAAACACAATTAAAAAAAAGGTCCAAGCATGCTGTGCTTCATTGCAGAGTAGCACAATTTGGACAAATTTGAAAAAGAATGTAAAAAATACATCAACAACAATAATAATAGTAATAGTAATAACTATTATCATTATAAAAATATTCAACAAAACAGGAACTATTACCATTATAATATTTCCCTGCAAATTAAAAAAAACAAGTATTTAAGAAAGATATTATAGCAATTCTTTTATTAAGCATACAAATGTAAAATGACTAAACTAATACGTATGGTTCTATCTATGTGTTATGTAGAACACAGAGTTTTTGCGGTAAACACTCCGGCAGTGTGAGCAGACACACTAAATACATTCATTCCTATAATCACAGGTCGTCTAAGGTCAACACTCACTTTTTATGGATGTCAATAACTTAACAGCCCCATCATTACCACACAAACAAGACGTGCACTCAGTGTTATGACAACAGCAGAGCAACAGAACCGAAGCATAAAACCTGAACTTAACAAATTTGAACACTATTTATTTCCTGCTATGAATGCATCTGTTTCCTTTAGGAAATGCAAATCTAGACTCAGAAAAAAGGTACAAAAGCTGTCCCTGAGGCAGTATCCTTTCAAAAGATACACCTTTGTAAATGGTACCTTTTGACAAGTATTGGTGCACAATTCAACTCACCTGAGCGTCTCTCCCGACGATCCTCGTCTCTTCCATAGATTGACCAGGCTGCTCGACCGGCTGGCCGCGGATGATGATTTTCCATCTCCCACATGCATGCGCACCACCGTCGACGTAGTGAACGCGCTGCGGACGTTCCTCTCCGGTTTAGCCAGGATAATGTAAACCTTCGGCACGAACATGCAGCCCAAAGCCACAGTGGCACTCAGGCTGACGGAGAAGCACATGGTGATGGTCTTATAGTTCGAGCCGAAGTAAATGGGCACAAAGGCCAGCCAGATGATGCACGTGGTGTACATGGTGAAGGCGATGTACTTCGCTTCGTTAAAATTGGCGGGAACGTTGCGCGTCTTGAAGGCGTAGAAGGTGCAGCTCATGATGAGGAGGCTGTTGTAGCCCAGCGGCGCCACCACGCCTAAGTTGGTGGTGTAGCAGATGAGGTTGACCTCGCGGATGGAGGGATAGTCGTGGATGACGTCAGGAGGCTCCATCATGAAGAGCGCCACGATGATGCCCAGCTGCAGGAGGATCAGTAGGAAGGCGATCACCAGCTGGGCACAGGCGCTCATGAAACGAGGCTTCTTGGTGCAGATCTTCTTTTTGCTGCCGGCCAGGATTCGAGCGATGCGATTGGTCTTGGTGACGAGGGCCGAGTAGCTCATGGCGGGCGATAAGCCAATGCCCAGCCGCTGCAGGTAGCAGTAGATGACATGAGGTTTGGCGATAAGACAGAAGGTGCACAGGTAGCCCAGACAGATGCCCGCCAGAATGATGTAGCACAGCTCGCGACTGGATGACTTCACCACCGGAGTGTCGCGGTAGATGATGAAGATGGAGGTGACGAAGAACGTGGCCATCAGGCCCAAGCAGGAGAAGACCACGGCTGCGATGGGCTCAGGGTCACCCCACCTCAAATACTCCACTGGGATGGGGTCACATCCTGAAACAAATGAAGAAAATGAGAACTAGTGGTGCTTGTAAGATTTTTTCCAAATACTTGTGATTACTGGATTAAGTTATAATAAATAAAATATTATGAAATTACTTTAATCTTCTTCAATATATATATATATATATATAAAGAAACAATATTTATAATATTTTACGTGATTATTGGATTATGAATTATTTTTTAGAGATTGCACTTTAAAAGAGCATTTCTATTTAAATTTTTTAAAAACTTTTTTAATAGTAAATAAACACTATAAAATTAAACATAATACTTTATGTACATTTTCTATAAAAAATATTTACTATAAAAAACTTTGTAGAATATTGCATTATTTAATTGTTATAATACAATACAATATAATTTGTACTATTATACTTGAATATTGGATAAGGATTTTAAAAAATCATTTTATAGAGACTGCACTTAAAATGAGCAATTTCTATTGGACAAAATATACATTTTAGAAAGCAAACATATTTAACTATTTTATTGTAAAAAAAACAGACTAGACAAATAAATAGAATATTTATATCTTTACTATATAAATATTTATATTTTCTAAAATCTGATATATGATCAAATATTGTATTATATAAATATATATATATATATGTATGTGTGTGTATATGTAAAATTTTATAAATTTATTAAAAAAAAAAAATTTTATAGTCAATATTTTATACCTTTAAGAAACTGAGACTGCACTTATTTCTAGTTAATAAAATATTTTATAAAACAAAAATATTTACCTATTTTTATAGTAAATAAACACCATCAATGTAAATAGAATATTTTCTTGTGACATCATAACAATCTATATAAATATTTACTATAAAAATAAAATCAGTAAAACATCATATATTATATTACAATATATTATATAAATTGCTTATTATAAGAAATTAAAAAAAAATATTTTATACACTTAAATATTCCACTTTTCTATGCCCTGGAAAAGTATATATTGACTTACCATTATCATCTGAGTGTGGCGAAAAAATAGCAATATCATGGAAGCGGGTGTTGCAGTGTACAGTACTTTGGTAATATTGGCTGTATGATTCTTTCTTTCTATCTGATGGTATAAATAAGCGCTAATAAAGTGTGTGGGCTGATCACAGGGAGACAAATTTGATCATTTCAGCTCAGACGGTTTTGATGCTGTTAACCTTTTAACTCAACGAGTGTGTCTATTCGCTTTTCCCTGAAATGATTTATTGAAATGCATTTGCTTTCTACAGCACAAATATCTCTCTCTCTCTCTCTTTCTTTCTTTTTTTCTTTCTTTCTTTCTTTCTTTCTTTCTCTTTCTATTATTGGCAATGTAAGAGAGATGCAATCATGCACTTTGCAACTAACTTGTTTTGGTCGTGATTCGGGGTCTGACACTCCATGAAATGTTAGATTTGTATTTGAGTATCGGTGTGTGGCCGGAGCTCCAGCACTTTACAGAATTAGATTTACAGGACATGAACAGAGACGGATAAAACGTGTCATTGAACCCTCAGTGTAACACAAGCACTGGCAGTGAATGCAGGAGAATCGGGGTCAGACGGATCTGTGCCATCAATCTGATCTTTACGCTGCCGTCTTTATCCGTCGGTGGGTTGATGTGTTTGTGGACTCACCGGTGAGGTCGTTGGTGGGCCATGATCCAAGCTCACACACGCGACACGTGTACTCGTCAAAAACAAACTCGTTCTCCTTACAGGGAGTGCATGTCCAACAGCAGCTGACCTCTCCTTTACGGATCACCTGCGGACGAGAGAGGAAACCGTCATAATCACATCAGGACATAAAACAGCTTCTCAGCTGCAGTGTCATGACTCCGAAATTAACTGTGCAAATAGTACATTTAGGACATCCGTTTTATGATTCACCAGATGATAATAGTAATTCAATATGTGACCCTGGAGCACAAAACCAGTCATAAGGGTCAATTTTTCGAAATTGAGATTTATGCATCATCTGAATAAAAGCTGAATAAATAAGCTTTCCATTGATGTATGGTTTGTTAGGATAGGACAATATTTGGCTGAGATACAACTATTTGAAAATCTGGAATCTGAGCGTGCAAAAATATCTAAATATTGAGAAAATTTCCTTTAAAGTTGTCCAAATGAAGTTCTTAGCAATGCATATTACTAATCAAAAATTTGTTTTTTACGGTAGGAAATTTACAAAATTTGTTCATGGAACATGATCTTTACTTAATATCCTAATGATTTTTGGCATACTAGAAAAATCGATAATTTTGACCCATACAATGTATTTTTGGCTATTGCTACAAATATACCCCAGCGACTTAAGACCCAAGCTCCAGGGTCACAAATATGCTTTACATTCATGGAAAAGTAGAAAAAAATAATGCATGAAACACTTACTGTAAAAAAATTGCAAAAAAACTAAAAACAAACAAAAAATAAAACGTTCCTTATATTTTAAATACATAACTTATAATATTCTACTTATAATATTTTAGATAAACAACTTTTGTAGTGTTTATTTACTAAAAACATATTATAAATATTATATAAATTATACTATATTGCATAATTTTAATTAAAAGATTAAATATTTCAGAAAATAAATAAATATAATAAATAAATATAAAGCAAATATAAACATTAGATTTACTTTTATATCATGTTTTAACTTAATTCTATTAACTTATATTTATTCGTAGGTTTTGCCTATGATTCACCAGATGATAATAGTGAGTCAATTCATGCTTTACAGTTACAGTGATATTCCAAGTCATGGAAAAGTGGATACATTGTGTATAAGATATTTACTATAAAAATCTGTAGAAATGATTTCCTTATAATATTTGGAATATATAACTTATAATATAATACTTATAATATTTTAGAAAATCTAAATATTTCTTTTTTGTAGTAAATACTTATGTAGTAAGTATAAATATTATATTTACTTTTAGAATGTTTATTTACTTTAAAAATAGGTTTTTAATATTGTAAGTATATTGTAAATAATATCGCATTGTATAATATTGTAAATTATATTATATTGGATAACATGATTTAAAAGAAGAGTCATTTGAAAATAATAATAATATAAATAAAAATAGTATCTTTATAATAAATATTTATGTAGTAAATACAAAAGTTAGATGTTATTTTATTTTATGTTTTATAGTATTTTTAAACTTCTTTTGTTGTTGACATCAAACAACAACAACAACAACAACAACAACAAAAAGTGGTTCTTAACTAGTTTGACTAGTACTCTGGACATCAAGTGGTGACACGATATAAGCACGTTTTGTTGTAGAAAGTTGTTGTAAGAAGTAAAAAGTCATTTTTATTGTTAGGATTACATTAATGTTGATATTTTTGGTTTCTAAATGCACTGCATTGCACCAATGTCAACATTTATGGGTTGTACAAAAGGCCCTCGTCCTAAAAAACAATGAATAAAACTACACAAGGTAAAGAATATATTCCAGATCCAGATTACACTAAATACAGGTCCACATGCAACAAAGATAAATGTGTTTTGTGCAGTGAAAAACTGGAAAGCATGAAGCATTAAACCATCAAAATTCATTTAGAAATCAAAGAGTCATGCTAATAATTTGACTTCTTGTTTGACCTTTGCAGTCACCACTTGATTTTCAGTGTAAAATATGTCCTGAAGCAAAACCAGTTGCATCCAGCTGCATCCAGTTGGACTTTACTTGCTACTCCAATATATTTATCAACAAAAACACAATTATTGAGCATTATTAAACACTACACAGCACTATGGGGGTTAATAAGCAGCTCGCCGTCTCCTGACCTTGATTTGACCTTTATCGCAGGGTTCACTGCACACTGATTTAATAATGTCATCTTTGTTGGGCCAGATCTCGTCGTCATCGATCTGCAGTCCACTGTTGTCCCAGCTGCCCACGTTCGTGTAGTCGAAATAATCTTTCCCCATCTTCTTAAAGTTCATGATCACGTAACTACGAACACAGTAAGTAGTATCGATTTAGTGCACTGAAATGAAGATGAATGGAAATGAAGGGTGGATTCATCAGTCTAACTGATGCATTGATCCATTCATTGACTAAGTGACTGTTTGATTTATTGATTGGCAGATTGGTTATCTTATTTATTGGATTGGATTAGATTGGATTGGTTTGGTACCTCCCAGGAGAATCGCCGTTCTCGTCAAAATAAATGTTTTCCCCGGACACTCCAGAGAAGTTGGTCTTCATGAGGAACTCGAGGAGCTTTGCACCGTCGATGGGCCTCATGGCATCACACAGTCCTACCATACCGGGACACAGAGCTTTCTGCATGTTGTGGAGGCCGTAGGCCATGCTGTAGATGGCATTAATCACAAAGCCCATCTTGGTGTCCTGCGCGTACTGCTGCCGCAGAGAATCCCGCTCTGAGAGAAGAGGAGGAGAATGGGGTTAATGACAGATAACTCGTCTGTTCCTGTTCGTATCCTGTAGGCAGGTCAATGATGAAGTGTGCTAATTTGCTTATGCTCTGTGAAAATGCCAAGTTCTACAATGAATTTCTAGATGGCGCAGGCTGGGTTGTTAACGCAAACTGATGTATTTACAGCATTAAAATACTTGGCACAAGCTGATTGGTTCATGTTGCTTACACAGCCAATGAGCTTGCTGCTTTACATTTAAATGGCTTCTCGAGTTCCTCTGAAACCCTCCACCTTCCCCAGCTCCACCTGTATAGATCTGCTATGGGTTATAATGTGACCCTGGAGCACAAAAGCAGACTTAAGTCGCTGGGGTATATTTGTAGCAATAGCCAAAAAAATAATGTATGGGTCAAAATGATCGATTTTTCTTTTATGCCAAAAATCATTAGGATATTTTGTAAAGATCATGTTCCATGAAGATATTTTGTAAATTTCCTACCGTAAATATATCAAAATAAAATTTTTGATTAGTAATATGCATTGCTAAGAACTTCATTTGGACAACTTTAAAGGCGATTTTCTCAGAATTTAGATTTTTTTGAACCCTCAGATAGAAACCTGCACTCCCGCGGGACCCAACGTAACAGGGTGCGGGACAACTCTCGATGGGTGAGTGCGGTTGCGGGCGGCAAGAGACTCGTGTGTGTGCGGGATGCGGGAGAATAAAATGATTTGCAGGACACCCGCAAAATAGAAATTATCTAAACATAAAGTGTTTAAAACATATAAATTGTTATTTATCTGTTGCACAAAAGCAAAAAGAACAACTAATATTAACATTAAAAGGACTGACATGCGCACGCTAGGCATAGTTTCTATTTATAACACATGTTTAAAGGGTGTATAGCCAATCACAGACTCAGCTGTTGATTTCTGGAATGCAATGGCCAATCAGAGGTGATTAAGTTAGAATCTACTCACCGCAGTGCTGAAATTGCGTGCTCACGAATCCTCTCATTTTAACACACGAAGTGTAGACACTGTGAAAGATTCATTGTGCATATGTTTAATGTGATATAACAGAGCTTTATGAGATCGCGATTAACTGAGATGTCAGCTTTTAGTGATAATAAAGGAAGCGTGCTGCTCGCATTCTGCCATGCCAAACCACGCATGCAGCAGCCCATGCTTGCTTTCTGTAAAAAATAACAGTGGTTGTGAATGTTGATGCTTAGCCTAAATAACAAATATTTTATCGGGAGCGTTTATGCTGGTATGTTGTGGAGTTTAGGAGATATTACAGAACCATTTTATGTAAATTTTTCAATGTACTGAAAAAAAATCTATATAGATTACTTTTATATTACTTTTCAGATAAGATATATTTCTGCGGGAGTGGGCGGGCGCAGGACAGAATCTTGCGGGAGAGGGACAGAAAAATCCGTCCCGCGCAGGTCTCTACCCTCAGATTCCAGATTTTCAAATAGTTGTATCTCGGCCCAAAATTGTCCTATCCTAACAAACCATACATCAACAGAAAGCTTATGTATTCAGCTTTCATATGATTCATAAATCTCAGTTTCAAAAAATTGACCCTTATGACTGGTTTTGTGGTCCAGGGTCACATATATGCTATTTGTGCAGCAGCAGCATGTCTTAAATACTCACAGCACCGTATCAGCGAATGTATTGTCAGTAGAAAGTTCATGTACTTGCTCTGCAGCAGCAGCAGCAAAAATCTACAACAACAGCAATAACCAACAGCAGCAGCAATTCAGCAGCCAAGACCAAATACATTAACATTGTCATATCCATAACCATGCTAAAATCTTCCGAGAGTTGTCATGATAGAACTGATTTCGTGTGGTGGAGAGACCCATATTTCCATCTCTGCCGAGTGAGAGGCTCTTATGCTTATGCTTATGCAAAGGCATTTTATTGCTCATAATTTTATAACTTCGATAGCTGATTCATTCATGCTATCAAATAGATTCTACTGTTCTTGAAAAAGCTAAATGTTTGTGTCAAAACTCAAGTATTAGACTGTGTTTGTGATTATGAACTGCACTTGAAAGTCTTGTTTTCACAGCAAATTTGATTTCATTCAGAAGTGTCTGATCCCCACGGCACGCTCTGATTGAAAACATCTCTATCCAAACTGTTGCTCTCTGTCTGTCTGCTCATGCGGGTTTATATGCAAACCGTTTTGATTCCTGTTTCAGAGGTCATTCTTTTCTTTTCGTCTTTAGGTTTGTTTTTAAAATGGGACCATTGGAAAAAGTTGCTTTGAACTCAAGCAGAAGCTCAGATAAATGGAGCCAATGAAAGACAGCGAGACTAATGGAAGGTGTGATATCAGAAGAAGAAGTCTGGATGAAAGAACGCAATCATGTGTTTCTGTCTGCGAGAGAGAGGATTTGCTTTTCTTTGACTACTGTTCTCCTTCTCAAACTGCTAAACGTCATCGTGGGAGCACATGAGGACACAAACGGAGACTTCAGACACATTTAATTGTTTTACCGTTGTGGTCACTTACTCCCACAGGTGCGGTTGTACTTGTTGTTCTCCTGCGGGTGTCCCTTCAGCCGGCAGTGGAAGCGGTGCTGCCAGAACTCGGGGAACCAGGGGTTTCTCAGGTTGTTTTCGGGACGTAGTTTCAGGTAATAATCGTCAAACCACTTCACGTCTGGGGACTGCAGCTTTATGGTGATGCCACCGGCGGCCTCGCGCACGTACCCGTCAGTGACGTCGTAACGGTCCGCCCAGCCATCACTGTGGAGGAGAGAATGAATCATAAGGCAGCATCACATGCATCATTTGTAGAAAACCACAGCATGCATTGCAACAAAATCAGTGGGAAAAATCCATCCAAGATGACAAATAAAATAAAAAAAATGTCATTATTATATATTATATGAATGTGTATAATGATAAACAAAAATAAAACAAATATCATAACTCCAAAGCTAATTAAAATAAAATAAATGATCAGTATAAAATATAATAATATTAATAACAATTTAATAATAACTTAAATAATAATAATAATAATTAATAATAGTTTCAATAATAACAATTATATTATTTTGTTTAAAAATATATTAAATTAATTGTTAATGTTAATTTTTTTAATAAATTGTATATATATATTATTAAAATATACATAAATATATTATCCAAAACTAACTAAAATTAAATAAAAATACAATTAAAATAAATAATAATAATATAGTCAAATAAATAAACAACATAAAATACAATAATATTAATAATAATAATTTCAGTAATAATAAAGACATACATTATTATGTTTAGAAATATATAATTAATTTAGTTATTATTAATTTCTAATATTGCAACAATATCAGTAGGAAACATCCATCCAACATGACAGATAAAGTGAAAAATGTTGATTATCAATGCACTTATAAATTATTCAGTGAAAGGAAACTAAAATACATTTTCTTGACTCCAAAACTAATTTAAATAAAATAAAAATGATTACAAATGAATCATAAATAATAATATAATAAAAACAAAATAAATTCATATAATAATAAACAACAAATAAAACATATATATATATAATTTCTATGCTTATTAGCAACATGAGGTTACATAACATTTAGGGTGTTGCCTTAGAAGGCGGTTCCCTATGTAGGCAGCAGACAGCAAGGCTATGTTTTGGAACTGAGTGCCTCTCTCTCTCTCTCTGTGTGTGTGTGTGTGTGTGTGTGTGTGTTTTTGGCAGCATCAGGCTGAAACATTTGGTTCAGCTGCGTGAAGCCTTCGCGTAACGTACACTAACTGATACATTTGGACAAATTAAATAGTTCTGATACAAAGTAGATACAAATTGCCAATTAAATGAACACCCGCACACAAATGACTCATAATTTTTCTCTGCCTGCACTGCCAGTTTCCCCAGTAACCATGACAACAAGAGGCATATTTTTAAAAGACTGATAATTATAAATAAATAATCTCACATGCGTCTGTATGTACGTTTATACGTGTGTGTGAAAGACTGAAACATACAGACCATACGCCATTGAATCATTTCTTCTATGATATCTATGCACTAAATCACACATTAAGACTAGAAGTGATTTAGGAGTCATATGTTACATAAAATGTCAAAGTTGCACACATTTAATAATTAAAAGTTTGTGCATGTATGATTTTGTAGCCAAATCCTAATGACGTTACAACAAATATAACTCCAAAGCTAATTAAAAATCAAATAAAAATGATTACAAATCAAAGAAATAATAATAAAAAAAGTAAATAAATAAACAGTATTACAATTTAATAACATTAATAATAATAGTTTAAATAATAATAATAGACATATATTATTTTGTTTAAAATATGTACAATTAATTTATTAATAATATAAAATGATAAAAAAATATATAAAAAACATGAATAAAAAAAAAATACAGACATTATTTTGTTTAAAATATTAATTTATTATTGATTTAATAATTAATTTTATATATAGAAAATCCAAAACTAATTCAAATAAAATAATTACAAATCGAATAAATAAACATTAATATTATTATAATAATTTCAGTAATAATAAAAGCATATTTTGTAGAACTGAAATGGAATGTTTAAAGCGACTCATTTGTAGTGTAGGAAGGAAATAAATAAATAGGAAGGCAGTTCACTAGGGTTTGTAACAGAGCTTGTGTGTGAATGTGTGTGTGTGTGTGTGTTTGCTAACTCAATTACATCCTTGCCGACAGGTCAGCTGAAGAAATCAACCCGGGTTAAACTTAATACAAAACACAGACATCAAATCACGTCGCTTCACAACACACACTTCGGTCGGGACAGAGAAGGACAGTCACTTCCGTAATGAAACTAGTGCAAACGAGCACACAAACACACACACACACACACACACACACACACACACACTCACACACACACTCAGGGTGCAGATGGCATCATTTTGGGCAAACTCATCTGACACCCTGTGTGCTTGTGTGGAGGGACTGATGACCTCACAGCTGGCTGCAACGTGATTGGCTGAGACTGTAGTCATGGCGGCAGCATGGGAGTAGGTGCTTATGGGGTATTCCGAGGAAAATGATACACTGTGTGTTTGTGTGTTAAAGTATCACTGTAATGTTTCAGTATCAGCTTAATCGCGGATGTTTCTCCTAAATTGCATTAGGATAAATAAAAAAAATAAACGCAAAATATGTAATTGATGGAACAGATTTTTTAGATACTTTGGTCTCTGAGGAGAAATGTTCATACTGAGATCTCGGACTTTTGATTGCAGACTCTGGCACGTCGTGAGATATTGTTGAGATCTCGTCTGAAACTCTAGAGACATGTCAGATTATTGGCAGTGTTGTGTTAAAGAAAACTAAAACGGAACCTAATAAAAACATGTTTGTTCACTGAAATAAACACAAAAACTAACATAACTGGGAAAAATGCAAACTAAACTGACATTAAATGTGACCTACTGACTCCAAATGTAAATAAAATAAAATAAAAATGATTATAAAGAAAATAAATATTAAACACAGCATAGTATAAAACTTGAAACCTTTGCAGCTCACCAACATTTAACATGCAAGAGCAATAGCGAGAAATAACACTAGACTGTGCTGAGAAATATAATACTGTTAAATGATGTTAATATATTAATTTTATAATTAGTAGCCCTAAAACACTAAAATAAAAACTCAAAATAAATAAATTAAAACTAGAAAACGCCATACAACTGAACTGAAACCATGATAGAGCAAAACCTCAAAATCAAAAACTAAATCTAAGACGAACTGAAAACAAAATAAATACCTAACACTAAAACTGAATTAAAACCGTAAAACTAAAATTAGAAAGATAATATGAAAACTATAAAAAACTAAAAAGGCAAATGAAAAATGAAATAGAAATGAAAACTTGATTTAAAAAAAATTAAATGCCATAAAACGAAACTGAAACAATAATAGAGTGAAACAAAATAAACACTAAATACTAAAAATGTAAAACTAAAATACTGTAAACTGTAAAAAAAATAAAAATAATAATAGAAATGAAAAAGTCTTTTTCTAAAGAAAAATATCTTAAAAGCATGGGATTTGTACAGAAGTCTGACTCTAAACGTGCAATAAGAGAAAGAGAGAGAGAGAGAGAGAGAGAGAGAGAGAAAGAGTCAGAGAGAGAGAGAGAGAGAAATTTTGAGATTTTACAATACTTTAAGACAAACCAATTGGCAAAAACACAACTGATCACCTCCCATTAAATCAACATATTAATAAAAATGAATTCATCCTCTACAACAGAGCAAAGTACTTTTTTGTAGCACCAAATACTGAAGAATTTTTCCAGATCATTCATCAAACTATAGTAATTAAAATCTATATTTTTTCAGCATTTTAACAAATATGAATATATGAATACGATATCATCATCTGTACACCCTATTTCGTCTACTCATATATACAGTCATCTTTGCTTAGCTGACACTGCTCCCTCTTTTTCTGGGAATACCTATAACCAAGAATAAACATCTGTTAAGAAAAAACTACACCAGACAAATTAAAAAGATTCTCCAGCATGGAAAACAGAGGCAAGAGACGGCAACAAAACTATAGTAATTAAAATCTATATTTTTTCAGCATTTTAACAAATATGAATACGATATCATCATCTGTAGATCCCTCCACCCTATTTCGTCTACTCATATATACAGTCATCTTTGCTTAGCTGACACTGCTCCCTCTTTTTCTGGGAATACCTATAACCAAGAATAAACATCTGTTAAGAAAAAACTACACCAGACAAATTAAAAAGATTCTCCAGCATGGAAAACAGAGGCAAGAGACGGCAACAATCCATAAAGCAACGAGAACGCAGAGTACAGAAAGAACAGTCATGATCAGAGTTTAAAACAGAAATAAAAGAATTAACAGCCACAGCTGCATGTAAAACCTTCCACTGCAGATCAGCAACCTTCTTCAACAATGGTGTTTTTACAATGCTCTCCGTTCAGGTCCAACACTATCAACCAGACTTAAGCGAGCTCTTCGAGGAGTGTCAATTTTACCATTGAATTTGTTTCTGTGCAGAACTTTAACGAATGAAGTGTACAGCAATTTCTTACAGACACAAAGGAATTAGCCTTTTCTAAAAAATTGTCCCGTACAATCCTTAAAATCTGGGAGAATCCTAATCGAAGGAAAAAGATCTTTATCACCGAGCTGATAGAACCGTTACAATACAGATGCAGCAAAGTACGCTCAGAGTCTGGTAAATCTTCTCTCCACTTATTGAGCTACAATGTGATTACACGAGTGGAGTGTGCCTTTAAATGAGAGGCAAGGAGATTAGTTTATTGTCCATGTTTGCACCTGTAAACTGAATTACATGTCCCAAAGTCACTACACTGGACAAACAAAACTTCTTGAGTAGACTAGGACCCATCTGACAGCTTGTACTCAAACGAGTCTAGTTGAAGAAACCAGTACAATGATTAATCATGATATCCCATCCTCTCCCGTTTGAACAAATTCCACACTTTGACCAATCCACGATAAAAAGCTCCATTAGAGTTGAATTGAAGTCCATTAAGAACAAAGTTCTGATCAGTCTCTGTCCAACCAACTGATTCAAAATAATGCATGCTTGGTCTGCAGGACCACACAGAAACCTCTGTATGAACTGGAGTCGAGAAGTTGCTCCTCTACTACTCAGGTGGATCAAACCTTGTCCTCCTTCACCCCTCGGCAAATACAGTACAC